TTGTCCGAGGTTCAGCAATAAAGTCCGAGGCTCGGGAATGTTCGGGCTGCCGGTAGTCCGAGCCTCGGACTTGATAGCTGGGCGAGGTACTGGTGGTTTAACCGAGTTAACTCTGAAACTAATTATTGTCTTCTTCCTCATCTTTTTTTTTTTTTTTTTTTTGGTGCAGGGCCGATGCGTATCTTCTCTGCATCGTTCCAATTTTAATGGATGTCCTGACGGATGAGACTGACTACAAAAAGGGAAAAAAGTTCAAAAAACAAAAAAACTGACTACGGTAGTACTGTCTTTTTTTTTTTTTTCTTTCCCTTTTCTGTTTCTGCAACTTTCTGGACAATTTTTCAGAGTAACTTAGCTCTAAGACTGACTACTGTCTGTTGCTGTCTGTCTTCACACTGTGTGTGTGTGTGTTGTTAAAATAGAAAATGCAAGGTTGGCCACATTTGTGTGGTTCAGCGCCAAGTGCCCACACTGTCTGTGTGTGTTGTCATGTTCATTGTACACAACTCCAAAAAGAAAGCAAGATTTGACGGACTGTTTCATTGGACTTTCGCCGACTCATGTGTGTGTGTGTGTGTGTGTGTGTGTGTGTGATTCCCGCTCGTCTTTGCATACATGCAGTACGAGATCCATTTTTGTATGTGCCCTCTTCCCAGCTTTGTGGACACAAAGGAGGAGCCGTTAGCGCCCTTGGAAAGAATGTACCTGTGCTGTGCTCCAGAAATTGCAGTGTTTCATCTGCGAAAGGTAGGCACGAACGAAAGGCGGCCCCATCCTTCTTGGATTACATCTTTTTTTTTTTCTTTCTTTCTTTCCTTTAAATCCATCTGATGACTGCCTTAAAGTGACAAGGGGGCTGCCCCAAACTTTAGGGTACCAGCATTGTTCTTTCCAGATGTGAGCAGGAATTGAACTGGCGATCTGTATATCATCAACAGGCATATATCTGTACTGCACGATCATGGGGCTCAGGTATCCTACCCTACCCTACCCTACCCTACCCTACCCTACCCTACCGTACCCTACCCTACCCTACCCTACCGTACCCTACCCTACCGTACCCTACCCTACTGTACCCTACCCATTTAATCTACCCTACCCTACCCTATCCTACCCATCTACCCTACCCATCTAATCTACCCTACCCTACCCTACCCTACCTACCCTACCGATCTACCCTACCCTACCCTACCGTACCGTACCGTACCGTACCCTACCCTACCCTACCCTACCCTACCCTACCCTACCCTACTCTATCCTACCCCACCGTACCCTACCGTACCCTACCCTACCCTACCCTACCCTACCCTACTGTTACATGCTGTATAGGCCCCAACCTATTTCCCTACAGGGAAACTTCCAGGCTCTTGCCTGGAAGCTTCCTTCTGACAGGGCCTACAGGCC